CATTGTCGGGTCCCCTGTGAGGCTCCGTGTGGGGTCCACAGCAGGTGAGGGTCCAGGTGCTGCTCGGAATGAAGGTGGGGGGCTGTGCACAATTCCTTGCACCCTTCGGTGAGGCCTGGCCGCCCGGGCACTGCACTTAGCGGCCTCCCCGAGGAGGTAGACCAAGGGGAGGCTGGGGGTCGAGGTCCCCACTTTAGGTGGGCAATGGGTCGGAGGAGGCCGGGCCTCCATCCCACTCTCCACTTCCCCCTCCCTCGCCGCACCCCCACGTCAAGGAATCCTAGGGGGTCACTACTTAGGTCCGAGGCCTGAGGAGTAGGGCACCCCGAGTCTTTGGGGCCAAGGGGGAACTGCAGGTGGACAAAGACATCCACGAAAATAGAGACTACCCTCATCCAAGCTTGCCGCCTCTGTCTGCTTCCGGCTGCACAAGGGCATATCCGGTGGGGGAGGGGCGGAGGGCATGCGGCCATCCCCCCATCCGAGCTCCCCCCCCTCTACTACCCACTACTCACTTCCGCCGGAAGGAAGGTGCCCGTCGTGGGCGGCACGGCCTTCAGCCTTTTCCACCACGTTCGAGGTCTGTGGAGGAAGGAGAGGCCTCGCTGAGACCCCGTGTGGTAAGCACGGCTGGGCAGGGGGGGGGAGGGGAGAACCCCATTGGAATGCCACAACGCTTGGTGACCCCCAAATAATTTAGCCTTCCCTCTGCACATTTATGTGACATTGGGATATGTCGTCAAGTGGACGCCCATCCCATAATTTTCCCGGTCCTTCCCTCAAGCCTTCCACGTCGGAACTGCGGGCCTCAGTGCCTGTGGCCTGGGCCTATGGGAGGCGGGGAAGGGGCCAGCTGGAATTGGTGGGGAGTTAGGGTGGTAGCTGAGTAGGTGGGAGGCCTCCCAGCACCTCGAGAGGTCTGCTACACTGTCGTCCTGCCTCCCGCTCTCCCTCCTCCTGCCCCACCCCCACTCAGCCCTCGCCCAACGTGGGCCTCACAGCTTTTGTGTCAGCTGTGGCGGGGGGGGGGGGGGGGGGGGGGCACACTTGTGGGAGGGAGGGAGGGAGGGAGGGAGGGCGGCGTTCCAAGTGAGAAGTGGGAAAGGATGAACTCCCAAGGTTCAGGGGTAGCTTTCAAATGCCAGTGCTCCTTTTTCACCTCAGTACCACCTGCAAGGCTGGCGTCTCCGGAGCACCACCACCATTCCCCCCTTTTCCTTGCCGCGCCCAAACGCTGGTGTCAGGGAATGCTGGGAGTGGCTGCCTTTAGTCCAGGTCTGGGCGGGAAGAGGCTGTGGGGAGCGGAGGCTGGCTGTGATGCGTCGGGGTGGGAACTGACGAATCATGAAGGACTGTCCAGGTCTCTGAGGCGCCCCCCCCCCCTGTAAAATTCCAGCTCCCTAGCCTTTATGAGCACCACTAGGGGGCGTCGAGTCACAAGAGCGCGCCCGCCGCTGCCTCACTCTGGAACTCTGACAGGAAGAGGCCTTCTTGGAGGGAGAGGCTTCGGGAGCACTCCAAGTGAGAAATGGGAAAGGATAAAGCACCGCCTAAGATAAAGGGTGTCCCTAAAATTCCAGTTCCACTTGGTTCATCTCGGCAACACTAGGGGGCGTTGGGTTACAGGAGAAACTTCCCCAACCCCTCCCCCACGCCGGCTCCCGCCTCCGGGCGCCCCCTGCAGGCGGGCAGTGTCAGTGCTTTGGTTGGGCTTTGTGATGGGAAAAGGCGGCTGGGAATGGGTGAAGGGTCGAGTTGGAATTGGGGAAGGCAGAGAGAGGAAGCCCCCGACCATGTCCGTGTAGAGAGACCCCCAACAGTCCACTCCTGCCTTCTGTTTTACCCGACACCACCAGGGCGTGCCTAGTCAGAGACCACTATCACCTGTCTTCTGGACCTGTGGATAGGAGACTACGCCAAGAAGACGTACTGTGACAACCTATGGAGAGGACAGGAGGCATCCCCAAGGTACTGGTCACCCTGAAAATCCAACCCTGCTGCTTTTTTTTTTTTGTTTTTCTGTTTGTTTTTAGTGCTGGTCTTGGAGCTTGAATGCAGGACCTTGTCTCTATCCCTGGGCTTCTTTTGCCTAAGGCTAGTCCTCTACCTCTTGAGCCACAGAGACACTTGTGGCTTTTGGGAGGGACTGATTTGATGGAGATAATAGTCTCATGGATTTTTGTGCCTGGACTGGTTTGAAACCACAAGCCTGAATTTATTCTCCACACCAGCTAGAATTACACCACTACCTACCCTGCTTCTGTCTTTTTAATCCTACCACCACTAGGGAACATAAACTCAGACATGCCCTTCCCCCACCTTGCCTTGCCCCTCCCCGACCCTTTTGCCTTGTGGATCCCTAGGCCTCACAGACTTGGTCCATGATTATGGAAGGACATGGCTGCAGGGTAGACTGTCAGGGGTAAGAGTATAGCTGAGGAAGGACAGACAAAGCACAATCAAGGTACAGAGTCCCTTCCAAGTCTAGTTCTGCCTCCTGTTTTACCCTGGCAGCATTAGGAGGGGCAACTTGGCACACAAGGGCTATCACCCCTCCCCCACCACTCCTTTGGCCTGGGAGAACCTTGTTTGGAGGTCTGAATAGGAGAAGTTCAAAGTCTGTGATGGTTCAGGTGAGACTTCAGGAGGATAGAAAGTACCACCAAGATAGAAGGTCCTCCAAAGTTCTAGCTCTGCATCCTTTTGTACCCTGGTACCAGTAGGGAGTGTCCAGCCACCGTTCATTCCCCACCTCTCTCCTACTCCCTTCTACCATAGGATCCCTAGGAGTTAGACCCTTGCTTGGAGGTCTGGAAGGGAGGGGTTCTGGTTCTGGTTCTGTGAAGGCTCAGAGTGAGAGTTGGAGAGGACAGAGTAAGTCCTCCAAAGTATAGGATTCTCCCTCCATGCAAATCCCATTTCCTTCAGACTTTTTCACCCTGGTAACATTGAGGGTATGTAGTCAGAGAAATGTTAACCAATCTTACCCAACTTTTTCTGTACTTCCTCCACTTCTGCTTCAGGAAACCACGAGAGTCATAGCATTGCTGGTAGATTCATTGAGGGAAGAGACTTGATACTTTCTGAGTTGTTAGTGTGATAGCTGAAGGAGAACAAAGGAAGCCCCTGCAGATCCAGTCATGCCCCTTACCTAAAATCTGCACAGGAGCTTCTAGTCAGTTGAGGACTCCCGTCCCTTTCTTTAAGCCTCAAAGGATAATGGGAATCAGAGACTTGATCCGAGGGGTGCAAATGAGGTTAGCAGAGACAGGATCTAGGCTCTGCAATTGTTATCTTTGGTATTTGGAGGGGGGACAGTCACTGGCCAGAAGTACAGGTTCCTCATCTCAGTCTTCCAGGTCAGAAACGAAGTGAAATTATTGGTTGCAGAGGACATTAAACTACAGAACAAGGGAAGCCCCATGCAGAATGGTCATGTTGGTGATGCCTGATTTCAGTATCTGCGTCTGACAAAAATGGGAATTGTTTAAAAGCAGTAGTACCTCTGGCAAGCACTCTGAGAGTCTAGACCAAGCTGAAGTTAAAGTAATGGCCTAGGAAGGGCTAATATTGCTTTTGAGGCTTCCAGCCCCAGGATGGCTGTGATTCCTGGGAGGTTCCTATGCAGTGTGATCATGCAGATAATTCCTGACCTCTGCCACTGAGTCTCAGATAAGATGGGGTTTTCTAAAGAGGGCATCATCATAACACAGGGTTGGACCCCAAGTACTGTTAGAAGTCACAATGAGACAGGAGGTAGAAGTGGTTGAGGGTGGAGGTCAGTGATCTAATGGTCTTGCCCTGCAAAAGGTGTGTGCAGATCAGCAGAGAGAAAGGGCCGAGTCCCAGTGAGAAGAAAGCATGAATATTTTGAGGACACTCCAGGCAAGAGGACTCCCTGAAACCAGCTACTTCTGTCAGCCTGGTTGGCTTCTTCAAGAGTGTTCACATATGCTGCCTGTGCTTTCTTTCAGTTCTCAGGACTGTGAGGCCTTGAAGTGAGAGGAGGCACTAGGAGAGCAGAAGGGACCGTACCTGGTCAGCAGAGGGAGGTATCCCGGATCTTCCAGGAGTTAAGGTGAGGAGAGGAGGGATCATCCTCACAAACACAAATGGGACCCCAGCCCCAACCTCCCAGCTATGGGAAAACCTGGGGACTGCATGGATTGGCCTTCCCTCGGCTCCTCTTCTGGTGTCCCGAAAAAAGGACGTTGGCTTAAAGCTGGCAACCTAACAACATCAGGAAAGTTCCAGCCCTTGCCTCTTATCAAGATGAGAAATGACCAGGTCTCTCATCCACATGCTCCACACTGAATTTGATCCCTCGTGTTGTTATCCCTGGGAAGTGTGGCTAGATGTGAGGTCCTCTTACTGCCTTTTCTCTCAGGACGGTGGACCTTTGTTGTGAGACTTGTCCTCAGTGCACCAGAGGGAAGGATATGTTCATGTTCTGCCAGGGGAGATTTGGTGGTCCAGAGTGAATTTATATTCTCCCCAAGAAGAGTTGGAAACATTCAGGCTGTGGCCCACCCCTCTGGTACCACTAAGAGCCCAGTGTCATTTCTGCAGGTTATAGTCCAAGGGAGAAAGGGCTAGAGAGCTGCTAGATGCCCCTTTCATGAAATCCAGGGACTAGGAATTCAGATTTTGGTTTCAGACAATGTCCTCACCTCACAGAGAAGATAATGCCCAGGAAGACCCCAGGAGTAAAGATAGGATGGACATCCTGAATGTGTCCACAACCCACTGAGGAACACAGAGGTGCCATGTTGTCAGCATCATGGGTCCTACTGACAGCTCCAGAGTATTCACCCCTGAGTCAATGTTCATCCCCTCCCTCAGACTCCTACAGCACTCATCCATCAGGAAGACAGGAATCTTGTCTGGCAGGCCCTAGTCATCACCTTCATGAGAGTCATGAAGTTTTCAGTTGAGGCCACTGACACTTTTCCCTCTCTCCCCTAGGCCTGTGACTCCTCATCACCAAGACGAGAAGCATCATGCCCCGGGCTCCTAAGCGTCGACGTATCATGACTGAGGAAAACCCTCAGTCCTCAAATGAGGACCAAAATCCAACAGATGTGCAGGTTGCTGAAGCTGTAGAGGGAGATGTTTCCTCTTCTTCATCCACCTGTTCCTCATCTTTCCCTTCCTCCTCCTCCTCCTCTTCTTCTTGCACTTGCTCCTCTTGTTCCCGCTCTTCCTCTCCCTCCTCTCCTTCCTCCTCATCTTCCTCCTCCTCTTCTTCCTCCTCCTCCTCCGCCTCTTCTTCCTTCTCCTCTTCTTCTTCCCACTCTACTTCCTCCACTGCTTCCTCTACTGGCAATGATGGGTCCTCAAGCAATTCCCATGGTTCTCTGGGACCCAAGCCTAGAAAACGAAGAAAGCGGTCTTCAAGCACTGAAGACGATTCATCAGACTCACAGTCCTTGCTCTCAAGTGAAATGGATGAAAAGGTGAATGATTTGGTGTATTTCTTGCTCCTCAAATACCAAATGAAGGAGCCTGTTACCAGGGCAGCAATTGTGGATCATGTCATGAAAAATTATGAGGGAAGCTTTACTTTGATCTTGAATGAAGCCATTGAATGCTTGCAGCTGGTCTTTGGTCTTGATTTGAATGAAGTGGACCCTACTACCCATACCTATGTTCTTGTTACTACCCTGGGTATTACATATGATGGGATGCAAACTGAAGTTCACGGTGTGCCCAAAACAGGTCTGTTGATATTTATTTTGAGCCTAATTTTCATAGATGACAAGTGTGTTTCAGAAGAGGAGGTTTGGAAAGTGCTGGGTATGATAGGAGTGCATCCTGATAGCTACCACCACCTCTATGGAAATCCTAGGAAGCTTATCCTGGAAGAATTCGTGCAGGAGCAGTACCTAGAGTACAGGCAGGTGCCTGGCAGTGATCCTGCTCGCTATGAGTTCCTGTGGGGACCTAGGGTCCTGGCAGAAAGCACCCTGATGAAATTTCTAGAGTTTTTGTCCGGCCTCATTGGCAGTGAACCCAGCTCTTTCTCGGTATGGTATGAGGAGGCATTGAGAGATGAGAGAGAGCGAGCCCAGGCTAGACCTCCCGAAACAGATGATGCTGCAACAGATGCTGCTGCTGCAACAGATGATTCTGCAACAGATGCTGCTGCAACAGATGCTGCTGTTGCCCCAAGCAGTTGCAGTTCATAGAGCACTAGTGGCTTCTAGCTTACAATAGATCAGGCTGGGGCTAGAGATATAAGACACCCAACCTTACTCCTTGATTTGGAGGACCGAGGCATTTATCTTCTTAGTTTTCTTAAATGTTGTAACTTTTACTACATTGTTTATTAGCTTCAGATTTCAGGTGTGAAATTACATTATATACATACTCATTGCTTTTACCCATTTTTAAAGGTTTTGTAATTTTTATACATGTTCATTGCTTTTACCCAGTTTAAAAGTTTTTGTTAGTTGGTGAAACAAATCGGGATGCCTTCCATCTTAATTGTAAGCTGTAACAAGATGCTATGGTGTTGCAATTTTCCTTGAAAAAGTGAAAGAACTTAACATTAAATAAACCAACCATTAAAATACTGGTATTTCTTTTCTTTGTTATTTTAGTCTATGCTTATAGAAAATTTAAAAGTATACATTGGGGTCTAAGTTCAGTGTAGTAGAGCACCAGTGGCTCATGCCTGCAATCCTAGCTAATCCAGAGGCTGAGGTCTGGGGATCCCAGTTCAAAGCCAGCCCAGGTAGACAAATCCAAAATACACTTTATCTCCAATTAACTGGTAAAATCCATTAGTGGAGCTCCAGCTCAATGAGCACAATGACTTCAGTTAAAGCCCTAGTGCACACACACATACACACCACAAAAATAAGTTGAAGTTTCCATAAGTGAAGAATCTTCCCAGTGGCCATTTCCTCCTGAAAATGTCAGGGAGCATCTGTTCTTGCAAGGCAGTGGTCATTCCAGGGAGATATGAAAAAGTCCTCTGAGACACAAACACCAAGTAAATGAGAGGTGAGGAAGTGGGAAAGACCAGGGGAGAATGACCTGATGTCTACACTGTTGCACAGAAGTTTGGGGTTGGAGAAACAGAAATGCCTCTGTAGGAGTTGGATTTATGAAGCTGGGGTGGGGAGGAGATAAGCTAGGTCCTTACTCCATAATATGGGATATAAGCCTGAGAGGATAGGAACCTGCTCTGACCAGTCCCCTTTGCATGCTGCATAGAACATAGAAGAACCTCTACCTGGACAGATGTGACAGATGTGCTTGAATACAACACAATAGAACTAGGTGAGATCTCGATCATCTCCCAAGGAGTTCTTGGATGATAAGTGTAAATCTCTGTAGAGGCCTACAAACTCCTAGACAGGTACTCTCCTAACATTTTTTTAAATCTTTAGTGTGGTTTTGATAATTGTCAGCTGATGCTAGATTTTGTCTGTGTTGAAATCAAATAGTGTAAGGGAGGGAGGAGAGGAAGGAGGAAGAGAGGAGGCAGTGTGAGGCCAAGGGAAGGTAATGGAATGAAGAGAAATAAGGGAGAAGGGAGGACCTGGCTCTTGATTCAAAATGTAGCAACTACCTAGCAAGGAAGCGTCCTTTGCACTTAGGTTTTGCACTGTGTCCTCTAGGAGGAAATAAGTTCTGATTTTCCTTCATGAAAGTTCATTTTAGCAGATGAGCTGTTCCATGTCCTGCATAGATGCATGTTCTCTGAACTGCCCTAGAGGAACCATGAACACCTGAACATCATCCCAGAGTGAAAGAAGCTGGAATCAAAAGAAGTGAAACCCACTCGTGGCATGCACAGATGAGCTTGCCTAGGTGGTTAGGAGCTAAAGCTGCCTCGAACGTGATAGATGAGGAAGGACTACAGAAATCGTTGTGCACTGAAACCCAATTGAATTTCTTTCTTAAAAACTGAGCCTCGCATGAGATGAACAACCGTTTATTTGCAAAACTCTAAACCTAATTTAAAAGGGACAATTTACCATCTTTATATTATGTCTTACCTGTGAATCTGTAGCACAGGAAATTCCTTATTTTCAGTGTGCCTATTGGTGATATATGTATAAATGTTCAGACAGGTCCAGTCATGTGAAAAATGACAAACATGGAGTTTTGAATAGTCATTCAAATAGAAAATTCTCAGCCTAAGATGATAAATGATAATTATGGATTATAGATGGTATGTAGTTGATTTCCAACAGAAATGTTTGAACAGTGATATGTTATACTATATTTGAAAGCACCTTTCACCTAGTATGCCTTAAATGCCTATCTGTAAATATTTCCATATAGATACTAAATATTCTATTTGAATTTCTGGGTGGGTTATTTTCTCCCTTTAAATCCTTCGTATCTTTACTGTACTTTGGGTGGCTTTATTGTCTTAGATCACTTTGTGCTTCTTTAATAGAATACTGATTACCTGAGAATGACCTATTTATACAATACAAAGAAACTTTTACCCACTGATTCTGAGGTTGTAAAGTCTAAGAATTCGGACCTACATGGGATAAGAGCCTTTTTACTGAGCCATAACATGTTGAAAAATACGTGGCAACTGCTATAGTTTGAATATTCAATGGCCCCCAGGACCCTGTGTTAAAGGATTAGTTCTCTATCCAGGGCATTGTTGAGAGGAGGTGAAGCCTTTAAGAGATAAAGCCTAATAGGAGGTCTGGGGTCATCAGTGGAATTCCCTAGAAGGGAATTCCCTAGACAGGTCTTGCCTGTCTCTGTTGGTGCACTTGACCATGAGGTAAATGAGCATCCTCCACTATGTACTCTCCATTCTCAGCAATAGAATGACTATCCTTCTTCCACTTCACCACCCCACCCCACCCCTCCCGTTAAGATTTTTCAGTCTCTTTCTTTCTTTTTCTTTTCTTTTTTTCTTTCTTTCTTTTTTCTTTTTTTTTTTTTGGTTGGTCATGGCCTGAACTCTGGGCCTGGGTGCTGTCCCTTAGATCTTCGGCTCAAGGCTAGCACTCTACCACCTGAGCCACAACGCCACTTCTGGTTTTTTCTGCTTATGTCGTACTGAGGAATCAGAACCCAAGGCCTCATGCATGCAAGTCAAGCACTCTACCACTGAGCCACCTTCCCAGTCCCTCAGTCTCTTCCTCTCTAGTGACCCTAATTCTTGTGTCTTCCTTTATTTCTAGCCCTGCTGAAAGTTCTGCTGTGGGGAAGAGTTCTGTGCTATTGCCTTTACCTTGTTACCTATTAGAATCAAGCGACACTGCACACAGTTTTCATTTCTTTATTAGTGTGTATTAATTGTGCAAAAGGGTTTTATTGTGATCTTTCCACACATGCATATATTGTACTTCCATCAAATTCACCTGTTTATTATTATTAATTCCTTATTATTTTTTTCACTTCCTTTTAAAAGTACTCATATCATATTCAAGTAACTTGAGTTAGAACAAAGAATTTCAGACATTTTATTTTTCTATACCTAAACCTTATATCTACAGGTTCCTCATCTATGGTTTCAAAGAACAGCTCAATGATTTTCACTTTTCATTTTTTCCTCAGGAAAATGTCTATATTGAACATACATAGGTTGTTTTCTTGTCATCATGTATAAATTACATAGAACAACATATGTATTGTATTAGGTGTTATATGTCATCTAGAGATAAGACACACATGGTAATGCTTGTAGGGTTTAGGTAATGCCACACCACTTCATGTAAGGGAATTGAACATTATTAGTACATTTCGTTATATGTAGGAGATTCTAGAAACAGTCCCCCATGGATATTATTATGATGATCAGCTTTTGTTGTCAAGTTGGTCAGATTGAAGGATTCTTAGGAGATTATGAAGGCATATTACTGTGTGTGTATCATAAGGGGTCTGATCTAAGGGTTTAATACACAGATTCAAATTTTGAATAGGCTACTTGCTAGGTGCTAGAACTATGGGAGGTAAGGTCCTAGTTTGACAAATAAGGTCGCTGGAAGTGTGCATTTATGGGTAAATTGTCCTGGTTGCTTTCTTGTCTCCTGCTGCTTCCTGGCCATCATGAGGTTAGCATCCTCCTCTACCATATGCTGCCAGTACCCCGGGTCTATAGCAATGGAGCTGGCCATTTATTGACACTTCTAAGACTGTGAGCCAAAATAAACCTTTAATCACCTCTTCAGAGGATAAATGACTTAGGGATACATACATACATACATACATACATACATACATATGTACGCACACATACACACACATACACTTTCGTTTTACAGAATATTTTCACACTATATGGAATTCTAGATTGGCAGTTTTATTTTTGCTTAATTAAAGACATTATTTTAGTCTCGCCTTGATTTCATTGTTTATTGTTATTGTTGTTATATGCATTGATTTTGTACAAATTACTTAGATCCACTGTGATATTTCTGTGTATACATATGTTGTATACTGAGCATGCCCTTCTACCCTCTTTTCACCCTAGGACCGCTTTCCCTAGGATCCTTCTTAATTCCCAGTAATGCCTCTCATACTTAAAGCCAGTATTAGATCTAGTTGTATCTTCTGTCTACTCCTCCATAGGTAAAGCATGCTTTATTCTCTAGGTATTAAGTACTTTGATTTTGATAGATTTTGCCTGCATTTTTATATTCTTTACTCTTGGGATTCTATTAGCTTTTAAAACTGTGAATTTACAGTCTTTATCAAATTGTCAGATTTTCCATTTATTATTACCTCAAATACTTTTATCTTCCTTCTTCTAATCCTTCAGAGTTGCCAAATACACAATATTAAGTCATTTGAACTCACCTTACAGCTTATTAATGTTCTCCTCAGTGTTTTCCTTTCTGTGTGTTTTATTCTGGACAGTTTTATCACATTTGTTTTTTTTTCTTTATTGAGGAGTACAAGTCCAACTTATTAATCTATAATATCTCTATCTTTTCACCTCAGACATAGTAGCTTTTATATTTCAAGTTTGGTTAAATTTCTAAACCATATTTCCATGTCCCTATTTAACATGGTTAACCTTTTTTCTGTTTTTGACCATATACAGTTATATGTAATACTATTTTTCTTAGTATACATTTAGTTATGGAATAGGGGTTTCACTTAGATATTTCCATACATGCATCTACGATTTCCCAATAAATGCCCCATCATTCTCCCTTATCCCTTCCCCCTTCTAAAACAATTGCAACAGGTTTCAGTA